TGAACTGAGTTTTCAAGCATTAGCTCTTTGTCAGAGTAAAACAAAGGGTTGACACTTAAAACAGCAGCTTCAAAAACTTTTACAGTGGCCTAATTCATTTTCAAACTCAGTTAATAAAACCAAATGAGATGAGTATTAATAGGACTGTGTAGTTGAGTTGCATTGTTTTGATTCGTGTTGTAACCTAACAGAGTTGGTCACTGTAACAGATACCTTGTTAACAATGAAAGCAAGCCGTGTTGCTGCTTCATCCAGCCATCCAACAGACTTCAAATAATCAATGTAATCTTCTGTGTTTTCTGGCTCCAACTATTTTAAACAAAATTTCATGAAATATATTTCCTCTTCACTTAATTTTAGACTGTCTTTCACAACCTCATAATAAATGAATAAATGAATAATAATGAATAAATGATTTAACAATGGACATCCACTGGGTGGCTATTCTTGTCCATTGTATTACAAACAAGATTAAACATACATGTAACACTCCAGGGACCACAAGCTGCAAAGTTTCATCAAAGATTCAAATGTATCTCTTATTTTGAGGTAAACAAATACATGTATAGAAGATTTAAAACAATTTTATTGTATTATCCAACTTGTAGTGAAAATTTCCACAGTGATCTTTTCAAATAAGCTTTGACAAAACAAAATGCTTTCTATTTATAACAACAGATTTAAATTTTCTCTCTGCTGCATAGTGAGCATTAACATTCTGACTGGCAGTGAAAATCACATAATTAGATAAAACAAGTTGCATGAACTAATAATTAATTAATTAATTAATTAATTAATTAACCTTCAGGTATCTTCGGTAGACTCTGACTGCAGTTTCCGGAATGTGGTACTTGCGAACAAACTTAAGGTATAAAGGCCAGATGCGACGGTGCTGCGTTATTGGCAGTGCCCTCAATGCTCTGTCAAATGTGTGCCTTGTTCTTGTCACTTTACACTGATCCACTAAAAACTGACAGTAGTCTATCCAGATCCTTGGCATCTATCAATGGTGTATTTATCAATAAGTACTCAACTGTCAACAGACTTATTTTTAATAAAATTTGAAATATCCCAGCATTAACAAGCCACATTAGAGCATAAAAGGAGTTGGGAATGCTAACATCTCTAAATAAAAAAAAAATTGATATTTTGAAATCAACTTTTGAAATCCTGGACATCACCACAGTTCATTTTCCAAAGCTTTGTTCTGAGGTTTGTTTTCAGCATTGAATTTCAAATCATGCAAGTTGACCTCTCTACATTTCTTGGTAGAGTTACATAAGACGGAGCTTACCAAGGGGAAGCTTACCACACCTTATGCATGAAGACAAGAGATCTTTCAAATGCATTGTTTATGTCTTCATAAACAGGATCTGTGATAGGTCTAAGTAGAAATTCAGAAAATAAAAGTTTTAAGCTTTTACTTTGCACAGACATTTCGAATATGTTCAAATTGAACAATTTATTCAACATAGTTCAACAGGATTTTTTTCCACTTTCCCCTTGAGATCCAAGGTTCTAGCTAAGAAATTACACTGCCAGCAGAAATTTCAAATGAGGCGGCTCAAAGGTGGCAAATGATTGTAAGAGTGTGACTTTGGAAGTGCCTGTTGTGCTTTACCAAGGGATCACCGGCTGGATTTTTGGGTTCTGTCCTCGTGTACTGGTTCACAAGAGCCGTTACAAAAGACCAAACAATACACAACAGCTAACCAATGACTCCTAAACAATGAAAGGACAATCATGATAATTCCCTTGTGAACCGGTACACCAGGACAGAACCGATTTTTGGCTGCCAGCCAGGTGGCAGCCAGCACTTAGTGACAACCCTGGGTATGAATTTGAACAAACCATGTTTGACACCTTGGGAACAATTCCTCTTTGGCCATTACTTTATCAAAAATAATAAAAACAAATAATGATTCCTACTAACCTTCCCCTCACTTGTCTTCTTCTTTCTTTCAAATACAGATACCAGATCTTGTAGCTAAAATAATCAAAGCAAAACTTTAATATTCATTAAAAATTATATTGACTTGTTTAAAAGTTCTACTAACACACCCTTTTCACATCTCATGAGCATCTGTTCAGAGGGCACCCACTGTAAATTTTTGTTTGCATTAAATTTAACAAGAAATGGGACATATGCACAAGCTAAACCATACCTTCCAGGAAGCTCCTTAAGAGCTCGCTCATAAAGCAGATTCAGTGCTGTGTTGGAGCCTTTTTTGGCCTTATGCTCTATGTATCTGATCCAGAATTTTACAGAATAGGGACTTCGAATGATTTCCTCCTCATAGGGCAGGTCCTCTTCTTCCTGAAGCGTAATTTTCGGAAACTGTCAAAAACTATCCCAGAAATTCCAAATTAATTTTTTTGTCAAGGGGGAAAAATGTAACTTTTCAAAAAAATTAAGTCCTGAACACTAATTTCAATGTTCCATGGAGAGGTTTGTACTCAAATTACCATGAAAATCTTTAGATAGAGAAATCGAAGCCTAATGTCAAAGTTTTCCCCGCGATCATCTTTCTCACTGAGCTGTAGGTGGTTTGCAATCAATCTCTAGAGACACAGGTAACAATGGTGAAAGGAATAAATGCTGGTGGATGAACAAAAGAAGCTAATGAGATATCTATTGTTTACATCCACCAACATGGAGGCGATGATGTAACATGCAAACCACCTATAGCTAGTTCTCATCATGAAATGTTCTAGCTAGTTTTCATGATGAAATGCTGCAAGTATTTCCAAACTTAATGTTATACAAAGGTTTTTAAAAAGATGCTATAAGAGGCGCTATACATCGGTCAATTACAACATATACGAACTTTTGGAGAAAAGTGACAGACGCCTATTTTATAACCTCAAAAATGATGACCATCCATTAAAAAGCCTACTCCCAAGGTACAAAGACTATATTGTAAACATTCGAAGGAAATCCATTGTCAGGCCCAGCATTAACACTGAACGTTTTAAAAATAGCTTTTTTAACAGATTAATTTTTAAATATAGTCTAGCTGTGTAAACACCCCATATGTATTTCTAATCATTTTTAATCATTTTTATTCGATTTAATTATTGTAATTTTTCCCATCAGTATATATTTTTACTGTAACATCAGATATGTAATTTTATCGGATGGTTTTTAAATAAAGACGAATTTATTTATTTAGCAGGAAAAAAATGTAAAGTAACAAGAAAATATTCTCCAAAACTCCAGTTCAGGCCTATAAAGTTTGGCAGAGAAGTTTACGAACTCTGATTTTCGATGAGCATCCTCTCTTTTAATTAAAAAAAGTAACGTGTTACATGGAGTATTTGTGCAGCATGCACCTCTTCATATTAGGACAAAAGGTTCAGAATACTTACAATGATAAGGTTACTGGATGTTACCGGCATTGTAGGTCTCGAGTAGCAGTTATATCTGTATGCTATGTTGATTCTCTAAAATTTTAAACCTACTCTCCACATCTACCCTGTAGAGATTTCTTCAGCACACACCAATTTCGCCAAAAATCGTCGCCATTACAAACATTCTGGGCCAGTAATGTCAGGTTTCTCAGCGGATGTACTGAAACCAACATGCGTTTTAGCTTTTAGCTCGGTTACTAAGCGAAAGGTTTGGGAACGAAGACCGTTGGACAGAGCCAAAGGAGTCCATTTTAGCTTCTAAAATGAGCGATTTACCTTCTGGATGGGAAGAGAGAATATCTAAATCTACCGGAAGGACATACTACTTCAACAGACGAACAAATGAGAGTCAATGGGAGAAGCCAGCGAATAATCAAGTTCGCGCTTCACACCTTCTTGTCAAACACACCGAGTCCAGAAGGCCATCTTCTTGGAAGCAAGACAGGATAACGCGCTCTAAAGACGAAGCTTTAGAAATTATTAAAGGTATCATAAAATAAACCGCTGTCCCCACTTCAAAGTGGTCGTGACACTGTCATTGCTTGCCTCAAACAAAGTTTTCTCAGGCTAATTTTTTTTGGCGTTGCCATCGCCCATTCCCCACCCCACCCCGCCCAGTTGGCAAATAACGAGAAACTTCATGGAAAACAGTGATGGTAATTAACAAATAAAATTGAAGGAAGGTATTTCAATCAAGCTTCCTTTAAGAAGTTACATTTTAATCATAAAAAACGATACGCGAGCACTAAATTGAGATGCATTTAATTGCTAAAACAAAGAAAAAGATCCCTGGAATAAACAAGAGAACATTAATTACAAACTCTGTTCCTGGCCTTCATTTAAATGCTTTTATTATCCAGTGAATTTGTGATCTTGGAGTCAACTTTTCAATCATTGGAAGAAAGAGCACTGTATCTTTAGCAGATCGGATAACAATTTGCCCTTTTCCTTTCATAAAAGTTTGTGGTTTTTGCAATCTCGTGACAAAACTCTTCTATTCTCAACTGTTGTCACTTTCATGAAGTTTGAACAGGTGCTTTCAACAAAGCAGGGTCTAATACTCGCGTACAACAACCATAGTTGTTGACAAGAATCACCTTTGCTGCAATCAGCCCTGTTAAATTCATTAGGGGCAAAGATCACCATTGTTGAATCAAAACTTTAAATACGCCATCCCCCCATCCCAAAGAGAGAATCAAAAATAGGAAAGCTATGGATAATTGTTGTTATTGGCAGCATCAATATGATTTTGTACTCTTACCAAGATGCTAGTTTCCTTTTTTGGGGGCAAGTTCACTTTTTCATAGTAACTGTTACTTACTGTATCTTAAAGATTATCGCAAACAGATTGAGTCAGGAGAAACTAGCCTTCAGGAACTGGCAAGCACAGAGAGTGATTGTAGCAGTGCAAAAAAACAAGGCGATTTGGGATTTTTTGGACCAGGACAAATGCAAAGTAAGTATTTTTCTCCCTTACAAGTTATGTTTTCTGCTTGATGAAAATGTTGAGACTTGACATGGTTGAACAAAAACATCATCACAAAGAATTTGCTATAATTCTCATGTATTTGAACTATGAAATGATGACTGTGCTGGGAAAATGATGATCATGGTTTGAAACATTTACGCAGTAGTGATTGAAATAAAGCATTCCAAAATACAGAGGAGGGGGGGAGGTGCTTATTTGACAGAATGGTTTAGGTGCTGAGCACTTGTTAGGGCATGGGAACTTGTTACAGCGTGGGCACTTATTTGAGGAAACGCAGTGTACATTTATTGAGTGGGAACAGGATTTATCCCCATTATTGTCTCACGATACCTGTGGTATAGCCCTCTAGACAACTGAGAGCCTGCCTGCAAGTGATTAAAAGCATATTTAGAATTTTTTTATTTGTTGATTTTGTTCATTATTGTAAGGTGGGTTTGTTTCTTTCCTTTTAGAACCATTCGAGGAAGCAACGTGAGTAATTTCTCACTCCTTTAATAAGCACAAGTTTGTTTTTCAAACTTCCCAGAGAGAGATAAGCATTACTGATCAGGAATGAAACTATCAATTATTTTCTCTTCTCTTCTTCTCTCACCAAGAGGTGGTATTTCTTTGTTATTCCAGGTTTTAAGCAATATTGTCAGACTTTCTCCTTGTTTATGTAGCTTCATTTAAACACTTGGTTGTTGGCAGAAGTTATGTAAACCGTGGTGTGCACATAGATTCCTCCCAAAATATCCACTATTGCTTTATGTATATGTAGTTCATCAAAAATATGCTCAAATTCAAAATGGTACAACTGCACTAGAGTAATCTCCGTGAGACGGATAGTGTACACTTTCTCCATTATTTCAGAAGGCCTTAGGTGAAATCCGAAGATCCCAGATGCAAGATTTTCCAAGCCTTCTAAGTTGCCAAATCTGGTTTATTCTCAATAGTTTCAAAATTTTCAAAACCCCAGTTTTCAGATAACTGCTCCCTTTGAATAGCACCTCATTCACACAAGCTAGTTTCAGTAAATGGCTGTCACACTTAAATCTCTCCCTGTTACAATGAGTCTTTCCTTTTTTTTTTTTCGCAGGTTTGCCTTGAAAATCAATGAATTGAGTGAACCGGTTTTCACTGACTCTGGTATTCACTTGATTCTAAGGACGGGATAAAGCAATCACCAACTCCAAGAACAAAGTTCATATTTAAATAATTATGTAGACTTGTTCAATTTACAATAAAATGTCTCAACTATGAAGCTTTAATTTGGCAACTTTTAACTTACATCATAAGTATTGTTTGAAGTTGTGTAAAAACTTAAGAGACAACCACTGAAAATCTTCAGGCTAGATTGACCAATCAAATGGTAACATCCACAAGGGTCAAAATATTTTATAGGGGCTTTTCAGTTGAGTGTTATCACCAAATTCAAACTAATACCAGCCTGGTGGTGATTGGCTTTAATTTTGTGATGGATTAGTCAAAGGGATCATCCAAGTTTCCCATACCAATGTTAACCAAAGGCAATATGATCCAAAATTACTTTGACACTCAATTAGAATTTGCATTATTGATCTTACTGTAGTGACTGTCTGTGACCAACTAATTGATATTAAGCTGATTAAGTAAATGGGAGACAAAAGAAATGTAGGATCTTTATTATTGAGAGGGTGAATAAATGAACTTAACATTACTTCTAGGTCTCAATGAAATTCAGATAAAATCTGTTGTTTTGTACATTATAGTACATTAACTGTAAGCTGCATGCAAAGGATCTACCTCTGTAGAGGCCTTGGTAAATATCGAAAGTGATGTTGAGTAGATCAAATTATGGTGATTGAGTTACACAAGGAATTCAATATGTAGTAGATATTTTCATATTACCTCTTATTACAAGCTTTACAAAGCAGAGATGTGAAGGAGGTGTAATTGTTCACAGTTAGAAAATTGCATAATTGCACTTTATTGTCAAAACTAGAGCAGGTGGAGTTTAGTTTAGCTTAAAATATTTCAGATTCTAGAGTTGCTCATTCACTATTAGCAAGTAAAGTAGAGTTCTAATTTCTCACAACCTTTGTTTCTCAAATTTCCTGATAACTTCAATCAAAACTAGCTTACCTGTTCTAGTCTAATGCTGTCTTTACCCCTTACTTTTTCAACTCAGACCAGTGTTCTTCCTACAGGGGGAAGATTGTACCTTGAGGGGTAAGTATTCCTACCTAACCCATTTAGGACTACCTACTATGCCTAATCTCCCCATTCCCAATAAGAACAATACCCAAGAATAGTTCTTGAAGCAGACCTCTTATCAATAAAGCAATTCTTATTGATGGAACTTTTCACATCACTTGGTTGGACTCCCCTTTCTCTTTAAAAACACAATCCACCCACCTTGACACAACAAATATGATTTCACTAAAAAACATTTGAAACATCTTAAGAAAGTGACTAAGCCATTGGCAGGGTTTACTCTTTGAAGTGTTGACTGGTAATAGTAAAAGTCTCAACTAAGTGAAATTGGTGTCTAGGAAAGAGAAAAGAGGAAAAAATGACAAAGACATTCTCAAATAATTTAAAACTGTATTTTCATCAAGTGGTCCCACTTGTACTACCTAAAAGATTCAAACTCTTCAAAAATTGTGAATTCCACAACTCTTTCCAGGACTTTTCTGACAACTTCCAATGATGGTCTTCAATTGAGAAGTTGGTTTCAGAACATTACAAACCTTATCATCAAATGACGGCGCAGCTGTATATCTCTTGTCATTGTTACAGGGTTTTCATCAGGAAATGTAATCACCAGAGAATAATATAAAAGATCAGGTTCCGGTTGTTCAAAGGGCGGATAACACTATCCAACGGATAAATTGCTATCCAGCAGATAAGTGTTACCAAAACGCACTGCGCTATCCACCGGATAGAGATTTATCCAGTGTATAGCGTTATCTCTCCTTTGAACAACCGGGGCCAGGAGAATATTCTATGCATCTAAATGAAAAATAGCTCACGCCATCCAAATAAAGTCAGACAATTCAGAATGGCTCTCTACATAGCACTGTCCTTGTTTTTTTTTTTTTTTATCTCTCTTATAAGATCAATACTGCTTAAGGCTTTTCTTCATTTTCTGTATCTTCATGGGCTTCTCCTGTTTTAATTTCTTTCGATTTTTCCTTGTCCTCAGATTCTATTTTTTGACGTTTTGATTCTGGTTCTGGTTCAGATGCAATATCACTCTTCTTTCGTTTTGATTCAGCAGCTGCTTCTTTTTTACCTTTTTGTTCCTTTCTGAACACTGTAAGACAAAAACCACAAAATCAGAAAACATCACAGGTAACAATTCACCAGTGCAGTGCACTGCCTAGTGATCCTTGGAACCTTACTTTTGCTCTTGGGTGACTGGGGGATCTTAGTTCTTTCATAAAAAGCCTATACTGGGCATCCTGGATTTCACAATTTTAATCTCATTTCCTGTCTTACCCAACAACATAAAACAATGACATTGCTTTGGATTTAGCTCAAATGCTTCCATCCCTAATCCAAAACACCACTACATCAAAGAGTTTCTTAGTAATACTCTAAATCCGCTTTAAACTTTCACTTTTCTACTAAAGTGATGTTTAAGCCAATGATATTTAAAGTTTACACCATTTTTTTTTTTGTATTTGTGATAATTATCCACTTGTTCAGTTAAACAGAGAATCACCTAAAAAAACATCCCAAGCAGAAATCTGCCAATACCCTGGTAGTTCAATTAAAAATTAAAAGAGCACTCACAAGCTAGGCTTTCTTTAAGAGGTTTAATGAAATGCTCAAATTCCATTTCCTCTAAAGCTTCAAAGACGTCAGGTGCAGTTAATGTCTTCCTATTCTGCTTTTGTGTAAAGTTGTTAGCACTAAAATAAAATGGAGAAAATCTACATAAAAATAAATCATTAATGATAGTTTTAAACCAAGTGTAAGCTCGTTAAAGTGCACCTACACCCAAAAAATTTTTTTCGCTTAACGAAGTAAGCTTATTATTTTGAGTATTTCTGCGCAAAAATTTTTTTATTTGCTCAAATCTTCAATTTTCTATGCCCAGTCAAAATACGGAAAATCGGCCGCCATCTTGCCCCACGACCGAGTTTAAAGAGGAATGGCTCAAGTGGGTAATGTGACGTCAAATCGAGAACACGAAAGTCTGCATTTCACATATTTTCACTTGTTTGGGAAGGTTGTAGTCGATAATTGTCCGAAAATATGCCGACTAAGTGTGTTGTAGAAGGATGTAGCAACGTGCGAAATTTGCAAGAGGGTATCGCGCTTCATACATTCTTCATACAACACACCTAGTCGGCATATTTTGGACAATATCGACGACAATCTTCCCAAACAAGTGAAAATGTGTGAGATGCAGACTTTCGTGTTCTCGATTTGACGTCACATTACCCGCTAGAGCCATTCTTCTTTAAACTTGGTCGTGGGGCAAGATGGCGGCCAATTTTCCGTATTTTGACTGGGCATAGAAAATTAAAGATTTGAGCAAATTAAAAAATTTTTGCACAGAAATACTCCAAAAAATAAGCTTATTTCGTTAAGAGAAAAAAAAAATTTTGGGTTTAGGTGCACTTTAAGTCTTAAGATTACCAATACATACACCAGTCCGATATTCACCATACAGAAAATATGACAAATTAAAGTATGCTAAAGTTTGTTGGTTAAGAGCTGGTCGATACTCATCTGATGTGTCAGTTGACACTCAGTTGATATATCAGTGGGGAGCATCCAATATCAACCGACTATCAATCAAGTATCAGCCACGTGTGGACCCCACAATTGCCTGAGTGTTGCTGAACTATGGACCCAGTGTGAAACAACTACTGACTGAGTGTTAACTGAGTATCAACCAACAATTGACCGAGTGTTGACTGAGTGATGATCAACACATTGCTTGAATATCAAGCGACTCTACCAATAAGTCGACCTACATATTGTTCAAGAGTACCTCCAGTGAACATGATCCAGCAGTTCTAGGTTTCTATGAGTAAACTAAATTCCTTACTGACCACACAAGAGGTCCATGAAATTGTTGCCAATAACAAGTTCCATATCCAACCAACTCAACCAAACATGTTTATTAGTATTACTATGTACTTACTGACTAAGTGGGAGGGTCAGATGGGATAAAATTCAGCTTGAGGTCACAACCTTCCACACAAACACAGAGAAGTCTGTGTGTGATAACTGTGAGCCAAATATCATCCTATCCAGCCTGACCTAACTCAGGCATTTTATCATTTGATTTACCCCGATCCTCTATTTCTTCCTTTCTTCTTTCAGCCTGTATCTCACAGAACAGAACGGCTTTCTTTGGCTCTACTCATGCTGACACACAAAGCCTTGATGCACTGTATGTGGATTTTTGTCAAATATTAAGTAAAAGAAAACTCTATCAGGTGGTAGGGATCAAATGACAAAAAGGATTTACACAGGAGTAAAACTGATACAGGCTGATAGAAGTAGAAGCACCAAATTACCCTGATTTGATCACTGTTAGTTCTATACCTGTTTTCTGGCAGTTAACCATATGAAGAAATATGCAAAGATCGCAAGCCTCCCACCCTCTTCTCAATGCCCTCACAAAAAAAATTAAAGAATAACTATTATATATTACACACCATGAGGTAGCATAAAGAACAAAAACACTGGCAGCTTTTCCTATGGCAGTTCTGGCTTCTTTGGATATGTTAACATTTTCAGGGAGCTGGAACAGAGAAAAGTTCATTAGTTCACAATCTAGAACAGTGGGATCACCTATCAACTTCCGTATATCACTTTCAGTTATTTTCAGATGTCAGCACAATAGTTGCCGATGGAGATATCACAATCTTACTGCATCTTTAGCAAGGCGTGAAATAACTGCGTTGGGAAGATTCAAATCTTCTGGTTTTTCTGCCATTGTTCAAAGTTCTGAAAAAGAAAACCATAACGAAACATGATGAACAATTAATGCCGCATCTTCTAAGAAAGGGTTCATCTGAAAATTTGCAGCAACTTGGATCAATAAATCTCAACATTTTGACACTCTCAAAATCGTCTGTATACTTTTTCACAAGTAATTCAGCAAAAAAAACGTGATAAACTCATTAGTATAGTATCACCAGCTCGACACGAAAAAAGTTCACTAACCTTACAATCTCCAAATGCGGATTTCTTCTTCGCTTTTCCCGCGAATTAGTTCTCGGCATTCTTGAACCTCGAGGCTGCGCTAGAAAGACTTTATGCCATTGGCTAGATTTGAACACATCTGTCCAATGAGAATTCTTGTTATATATAAGAGAGCCCGTGGTATCGTAATTTTATTGTTCAGTGGATCTTACGTCATGCGCAGTCTGTACCATTTGTGCGTGTCCAATCTGTTTCCTTCCTAGCTCCATCTTCGTCCGCAGTATTGTGTCAATATTCATCTTAGCATTTTGTGTATTCTTGATGATAATCTGTGACGGCTGGTATTTTTGAGACCAGTTATATCTGAAATCTCCCCTAGGTAGGCAACCTTTTAAATTAACCATGCCAAGAACTACTATTCATGGTCAGCTTCTATGCAAATAGCGTCCCAAACCTGTTTTTGGTAGATCAACCTGGATATTTTCATCTTTCAGTATCTGGAATTATCTCAAGCATTCTCCTCCAACTTAAACAACTGAGGAAATAACATGAGTAGCTCAGAGGAGGTGTCGTGGATTTCTTGGTTCTGTGGTCTTCGGGGTAACGAGTTTTTTTGCGAGGTACTATTGCTAGCTTGGCTTAATTAGTGTTACAATTAAGCTTACTTAGAAGTACACCACAGGGAGACTTGAGTCCAATATAAATTGGCCAGAAATAGGACATACTCTATGAAACATATTGTACTTGTTAGATTTTGTGACATCGTTTTATTGAAACCCTCGGAGCTAATTTGTGACAAGTAACAAGAAATTCAATCCCTTGTGAGTTTTTTCCTGTAACCTTTTTCTTCAAATCTGATCGAGTGAGTTGTAATCTGCAGTTGATGTTTTTACTGAAACTGCTTTACCTCAACAACCATCATGTGGAAAGATTTCCACATAACTTCAGACTATCCTAAACCAAATCAGTAGTCAAAGGCAATCAATCTTTTTTTCAGTTTCTATTATTCAAGAAACTGTTAACCTTAATGAAGTATAGGGTTATACAGAAATCTTGCCCCATCAGGCCATGAAAACATGGTGAGCAAAAGAGGAGTTGGTGAGATCAATGATCTCATAAAATATGAAAAGGCTGCTATCTTGATAATATGTTGGTTGCATTTCCTGGGGTTTCCTAAAGCAGTAACCGGACTGAAGACCCTGTAAATTTTTTTTTAATAGATCTTAGTGACACTATCAATTTTTGGAATTAGAGGGAGTGATATAAATTCCAAACAAGAGGAGCAGTGTCATACACCAGTTTAACCTCATTTTAGATAATTCTTGATATAACTCAACGATAGTATTAGCAATAGTATAATCAACAATAGTATAATCATCCACAACGCCCTAAGTTACCATCATTTTGGTCGCGGTCATGAGCAGGAAAACTTTTTGGCATCTAACTATGCACCAGTGGTTGCAGTATTGAACCCAGTACCATGTATATTCTGGTCATATTACCTATCTTAAATATGGCATAAGCTATTTCATAACCCCCAAACACAAGTCATCAAGCTTCAGATTTAGTTGCCAAATTTTTTATCTACTCATCTTGGTAACTAAAATAGTGGTAGCTTGAGCTGCGAGGTAAATCCCCATTTTCAGTGAAGTTGGTGTTCCTAATAAAGATTTTCCTTATTGCTAACAACTCTTCTCATTTCTCCAATAATCACCCCAACTGTGGTTTTCAGAAGGGATTTCCTGATTGCTGGTTGCTCTGTTCGTATGTTAATGTTTTTTGAAAACTGTTTTCTTTCTTGCTTCTTGCTGAGTAATTTGATCATTCTTTTCTTATGAAAGGTTGATGAAGACTACATTCAGGACAAGTTCAACTTAACTGGATTAAATGAACAAGTGCCGCATTATAGGCAGGCCTTAGACATGATACTGGATATGGAGCCAGGTTGGTGAAATTGTTTTATTACTAGCATGTACTTTTCAGCTTTACTGCTATGGTGAAATTTGATCTGAACTCTCGTTAGTAGGACTTGGTTTCCGAGATCTCACCACACCAAAATTTCCTCTGAAAACAGTCTTAACACATTCATATGATAAGGCCAGGTAATTCAATTATTCAATGACTTTTTTTTCCAATTGAGATAGTCTAATCATTAAAATTTTCCCCTGTGAACCCTGTATACTAGTTACCCAGATGAAACTTTTAAAAGTCTTGTCTGGTCCATCTCAGCCCATAACTTACTGAAATTCTTCACCAAACCAATCCAACCACAAATTTAGGGCTCATATTACTTAAGAGAGATTACAGACCAAGCTATGTTGATGTAATAAAATATGGACAGTGGTTTAGTGTGCTCTATACTCTTATTGACAACCATATTTGTTATCACAGTGGTCAAAATGTTGTCAAGGTACAGTGTAGTGAGTCTGTAACAAATTTTGAACAACGTGATCAGCAATGTCTGAACTCTTTTCAGGAATGGCAAGTTGACCAATCAGATTGCCACATTACTGCCAGTTGCGGTTAAAATTGTGATTGTTTTGTCAACAGATGATGAATTAGAAGATAATCCAAATCAAAGTGATTTGATTGAACAGGCAGCAGAGATGTTATATGGTCTCATTCATGCACGTTATATATTAACTAACAGGGGGCTTGCCCAAATGGTAGGTGTTGAAAATTGTCCTTGACCATCTAGTCTTAAATAGGATTACAGATAAAAAGATTGTATCAAGGGCTTGGTTTTAATTAGTTTTTCAAGAATGATAAGAATTTCAAATTTTTTTCACAAGTGCTGATGACAAATCATGCTATTATTGAGATACCATCAAGCAATCAATCAGAATTTGCTGAAAGGTTCATAAGCTCTGCAGAGTGTTTGGGAATGAATAATATCAGAACTTATTGACAGTCCTATAGTATGTCACCAACATGGGCACGAGTCTCTCTTTCATAACTTGTTCTGTTCAACTAGATCTCGATAAACTAGGTTTTAAAAGTATTGTGGGTGCCTTGTAGGAATATCATGACAGTTCTACTTCTGACCTCCCTACACATTGCGTTGAACATTCTGAGTGATTACTAACCTTGTGTGTTCTTATATGCAGCTTGAAAAATACCAGAATGGTGATTTTGGACACTGTTGTCGAGTGTATTGTGAAAATCAGGCAGTCTTGCCCATTGGTAAGTTCACAATGAAAGTTAAGGCTTGTGCATGTGCAAGTGTAGTACTTACATTATTTTGTCCAATTACTCCAGTATGTTATCTTGTTGTCAGAGCATTCCTTTTACAGCTCAGTTTCTGTTGTCGTCCACAGGTTTGTCTGATGTTCCAGGAGAGGCAATGGTCAAACTTTACTGTCCAAAATGCATGGATGTTTACACACCAAAATCATCTCGACATCATCACACAGATGGAGCATACTTTGGGACAGGTTTCCCTCACATGTTGTTCATGGTACATCCTGAGTACAGACCAAAAAGACCAAACAACCAGTTTGTGCCAAGGTATAGTGTGATGAGTTTGCGAGATTGGTCAGATAAGCAAGTACAGTGGGAACCTGGAGAGGAAAACTAAGGAATAACTAGGAATGAATTTAACTGTTTTACTTTGAAATAAGTGTGAAAAAAAAAAAAAAACTAATATGCCAATAGGCAAAAATTGAGAAATGTTCTAAGGGAGAAGCACAAGCTTTGACAGTTTATCATAATTTGTTCTGTTCTGATCATTATTTCTAACTGTTTTTTTTTTTTCTTTTCTCTTTTTTTCCAGATTGTTTGGATTTAAAATTTCACCCATGGCTTATCAGATTCAGGAAAGAGCAGCAGCTCAGAGAGGACGATCTGCATCAGCACGTCCAAGATCAACAAAACCTCACTACAAATAAGAACAATTTATTTTTCTAACCTTACTTCCTTGTTTTAATATTTCCTCCTTTAATGCTGTTTCAAGTCTTCAGGATAAAATGTTTTAAAAACAGTTTATTCGTTTAATTGCTGAATCTATGTGTAACTAACAGTATATATGGTGTTCTCCTTTTTTTAAGCACAATAGGTAAAAGAAATGTTCAAAACCAGTAGAAAAATCCTTTTGTTGCATTTTCAAGAATTCCAAATAATTTTAGGCGGTAATGAGAAGTACTGCAGGCGGTAAATTTGACCAGTTACCCCCTGAAAAGGAGAATATTGTATATACAGATGCTGGAAATTTTTATTTCTATTTCTCCCCCTTTTGTGTACATTATAAATAGGTGTGTTCCAGTCAACAGGGTCAATCCTAGCTCAATTTTTATCTGGTTGAAAATTATTCTATGGATTTTATCCTGCAATTCATGGAGTAGATTCCTTGCCCAGTTTCACTGAGACACTTCAGCCTTGCAGCTCTAGCTTGAGAAAAACCTGTCTATCAGATTTACGTTCTACTCTGATTTTTGCAAATCATGTATGGAGATAGTATCTCTGAAACAAAATGTGGGGTTGTGTTAGATAAAATTGTTCCCATCAGGTCCTAGTTTAGTATAACCCCTACAAACAGTTATTTCTGTTGTTGTTCAGAGTACATTTTAACTATGTAGTAGTGTTTGGCACCTTGTTAACAATTTAGTTTCCATGCATTTGTGTACAGCTCTAATGAAAGAGAAAAAGCAGGCTGTCTGTATGTTATTTCAACTTACAGCTTTGTGTTTTTTATGATTTCTGTGAACATAATACACCATAAACAAAAGTTAAGTTACTGTTGTGTTGATGATTTGTGTGAAGACCCTGGGGTACTTAATATAGTTGTCATAATTGTTAAATACATCCAAAAATTTAGGTCTGGTTTGAAAGATGAACTTTGCACAAGCCAAACTTAATAGCTTTGGTTATGCATGTGAAAAAAAAGTGGCATCAGAATCAATTAAGAACAGCTTCTTTAATTGGATTGTCAACCCAGTTTTTCCCACCTGGCATAGTCAGGAACTTTAGCCCTGGAATGGCTTTGAATTGGACATGAACTTATCAAAAGCTGAACCAATTGCATGACTTATTATGATGTATTTGGCATCACTGATTGATTTTCCTGGATCTGGGAAGGGCCAGTGAAATTTGATGTCTGAATCAACAAGTGTACCTATTTGAATTTGGGTGGGTCCAAATTGGAATTTAGTTCAGCTCATAAAAATGTTTGGAGTCTCAGCAATTACCTGAGTGATATCTTGAACAAAAGAAAAAGCACATCAAGGAGATTTTACTTTCGGGAGACATTAACTGCTATACAAAAATATTTTCTCTAGACTTTGGGAAGGGATTTCATTTAAGCTCTGAAGTGGACAGCAAAAACAGGGATACACTTGGCACACAGCTACCAGGTGGACAATCAGACATAGTTTGTTGTTACTGGTTTAAAGATCTCATGATTGTAACCAGGCATATTACAATTTGTTGATCAACATTTCAACACTCTCGTCTAGTGCCTCCATCAGGGGTGATCTGATAGTTGGAACAAGAGGCCCTTTTATATGCTCACTAATTAGCTGCCCTTTTTTCTGATGAGGTGTAAATAGGCATCAGGTACTAAGTCTCCTTCATCACAATGTAAAGGAGCCTGGACAGAGTTAATATGCCAAGCTTGTAAATAAAGGTGCTAGAAGTAGCAGCAATTTGTGGTGATAATTTTAGAATTATACCACCCAACTGTGAGGTTAGATCAGACCACCCCTGATGAAGGCACTGGACAGGAGTGCTGAAATGTTGGGTCGATGAATTTTATTTTCCCTGGTTACATTCATTACATCTTTAAACCAGAGTAGCATCCAACTATGTCTGACTTGGCTTCTTATCTCTTCTTGCACTCACTTCCTTCTAGGAGTTATGAAGGGGAAATGCACCTAGTAAATTAATCATCATGCAAATTGGTAAATCAAAATGCTAATTACTGTCCAGTGAACTGGTTTAAGGTTCAAAATTCAGGACTACAGATACCATCTGTCATTCCCAAAACAGACACTCAACAATCTTACTATATACAAAACAAAAATGTTTATTGTTTTCTTTCTTGACTGGTCTGGTGTCCTGTTTAGGAAGCCTGTAAACATACTATTCCCCTGGTTGTCAGATTTGCAGTTGTTGAGTGATGAAAGTAACATCCAAAAATAGTTTTTCTTGAACAGGTTATAGGCAATGTCAATAAGTCCATTACAGTAGCATTGTGGTATGTGAGGTCTTTGAACTGAGAATTAGTTCACTGTTCAAATCCGATAAAAGCACTTAGTATTGAGTTGTAATGAACTAAAATGCCTAAGTCACTAAATTCATGGTACTGAAAAAATGTGTCTGCTTACAAAGCCTACATATATTTTTACAGTTTTTTCCTTTGAAAGGGTTTCCTACATAGACTTTTTTGTTAGTTCAGTTTGTTTTCAGGCCTTGCTTTGGGCTGCTTCCTTTCTGGTGGCATCTTGTAACAGTGATGTATCAACTTCTTCTGCTGGGAGTTGCACATATCTCACTACAGATCCCCTAATGAAGCAGTTTTTAACTGACAACTAAAAAGGGAAAAAAATTCAAGCTAAAACTTTCATACCATTAACAAATAATAATTATCATTGTCGAGATGCTTGGTGACTTACTGAAATTCAAATTATGGACAAATATGTTATATTTCTGGAATCACCCTTTATTAACTCCTGTCTGTTTTTATTGAGGATAAGCCATACTGAGTACCAGACTGACGTTTTTCCTGGTAACATTAATGTCATGTCATTGAGTTAAATGGTAAGTCATGTGGTTCTATTGAAGAAATGTTGGCTAACCTCATACTGTCAAGTTATGCAGTGTTCAATACTCTACACACCACTTAGACTGGTACGATGCAACACTGCCGTACTCATTGCCCAATCTTGAGCCCACATTCTTTTTCCACTCTTTATCCTTAATCTTTACCATTATCGATGTAAGACCAAAAAAATCACTAGAAACTACACATATAAATACCATGTGAGGATACTTGTCTGGGTCTGTCAGGCTTATATCTGTTAATTTGATGTTTAGAAACTGCAATAAAAAGTGGAATAAAATCAGACATTATTTCATGAAGCTTTCCAAGATATGCCAATTGGCTTCAGTGGTAAAGCGATACATTTCTGTACGGCTGTACCTTATTACGACAATCAAATTATAAGCTTACCTGATCGACCGAGTCTAATGTTCCATGTACACTGTTAACAAAAAATAGTAATATTCATCTTAAAATCTCACGTTTTGCACAATGTTTTCTTCAGTTACAATAGTCCAGGTTCAAAATATGGTGGAAACTGACAAGATCGCTGAACTTTAACATAACTGGAGCACGGAAAATGAAAGATTCTCGAACACATTTGCAGCTGCATTGTAGATGTACGTACTGCAATCTGGTCTCTGATGAAGTGAGAGCTACTTTTTTCAAATCAGAAATGTTGTGCCATTAATCCACAAGAGTAAGTTCGGAGCAACTTCTATAACACCAAGAGAATCCTTATGAAAATGCCTGACGACTTCTTAATCTTATACATGCTGATTTAAATTTGTCTTGGGCAAAATGCAAACCTGAAAAAAGACGGTTCTGTCCTGGTGTACCGGTTCACAAGGGAATTACCATTGTTCTTTCTTTGTTTAAGAGTCATTGGTTAGCTGTTGTGTATTGTTCGGTCTTTTGTAACGGCTCTTGTGAACCGGTACACGAGGACAGAACCAAAAAGACTGTCAGTCGTAAGCTTGCAACTGACAACAAAACTCAGTTTTACCTGAGATCATTCTTCAGTTCCACGATCACTTCTTTTCCAACCAGGGACTTGAAAAATGAGTAAAACAACTGAAAGGGAAAATAAAAAATATGAGCATTTGTCGCAGAAAAACGTCCTCGAAGCGAAACCCACGCTCACCATTTTGGGGACATATACTATGGCGGTAATGAGGACGTTATGTATGGTATCATATGGTGTATTACAGCCGCTGGTCATGTGCATGCTCAGGTTTAAGATAAGGACTGTGGGATACTGCGGATACTGCATGGCATAAAAACTGAGACTATTTTAGTTATTGAACTTGTGAGAAAAAGTAGAAATCCTCCCTCATTTGTTTTCAAGTTGGAAAAAATGAATACAGAAAGACCTTTCCAGCAATATTTTAGCCCCTACGCTTTTAACGGAGGGTAAGTAGATCCAGGATTGTCGAAAATGTGACAAGGTTTAACGAGAAACGTGTGGTCTGAATGAGTCAGCATCAGATCAAAGCGACAGTAGTTTTAACGTTAAGTCGATTTATACAAACTTTCGGACTGTTTTAAAGAAAAAATTTTCCAAAATGCAGCTATGATGTTCCATTTGTATGTCAGGAGATGCGGTGAGACAAAACGTTACTGCAGCTTTCTGTGCCGACACTCTTCGTCCAGAAAACATGTAACTTGTGAGGAACCTCTGAGCTCTGGTTAGGTTAACATTATTCCCTATGTCAATCAACCAGACCCTCTATTTTTAAAATTGTGCCAGTTTCCATCAGTGTTTAAGACAGAGAATGGGGTTTACGGGTAGCTTGAGAAGTTATGATTCAGTGAATTGTTCCATGTATGATTATTTTTGTAAGACTTGGGTGCAGCATGAAGTTTAATTCTTAGCCATTACATGTACATTAATTTTATGTTTTATCATGGTTCCAAACATAGGACTGTTCTTGCGATTGCTGGAGAGGATTTTTCTGTCATAGCATCAGACACTCGGTTAAGTCAGGGCTTTTCCATCCACACCAGGGATAGTCCAAAGACCTACAAACTGTAAGTTTAGTTTTTTGTTGGTTCAGTTTTTATTCCCACCCCTTTATTAGCTGCATAAAAAACCTGTGTATTTTTTTGTAGCAGGGAATTCTTGATTTTTACTTATCTTGCTTGGAACAGCCCAGTCCTAGAATATTTGTATTTTTGTACTTATTTGGTTGAGTAACATGGACTGTAATTGAAGTTCATCCTCATCTTAGAAGCACCCCTTTCTGTTGGTATAACACATACACTCTAGGCAAACCATCATAAGGGGCATGAACTTTATGCCAGGCCAAATCACGGAAAATGTCTAGAGTATTACCATTATGTTAAACTATTTTGAATAGAGCCATTTATATCCATGACTAAGAAATAATGAACACAAACTTGACTGCTGCAAAATGGGATCTAAAAAACCTGTAGATACCATAATAAAAACAAAGAAAAAGTTTCTGGTAATTGATATGTAGTAATTCCATGCATGTTTATTGTTTACAAACTCAGACTCTTTCTCTTTGTGTTTAGTACCAATTCAACTGTTCTTGGCTGTGCTGGATTTCATGGGGATTGCCTTACACTGACCAAACTTATTACAGCAAGACTTCAGGTTTGTTAATTTAATGTAGAGTAGTATGTTTAATTGTGTTTAATACCCTATATACACAATCTGGGAATACTCATCTCAAACTAGACACAACTAGATAAATTTCCTTTAACAAAAGTTTGTATGCTGTTTTATTATATGGGTGTGTCTCACAAGGACTGGGAACTACCAAATTCACAAATTTGATTGGCTGAAATCAATATTGAAAGTGGTCTAGATTTTCCCATCTAGACCGGCATGTAGACTGGTCTAGTAAAAAAAGGTACAAAGAATATAAAAAATTGGTATATAAGACACAGCCATATAATAAACATCTTATTAACCGAGCTAGGTCGGTCTGCATGGGAGAATCTTGACCTCGGTCGCTGGTACAGACCTCACTGCGTTCAGTCTGTACTGGTGACCTCAGTAAAGATTCTCCCATACAGACCTCCCACTCGGTTAATAAGAACTAAGTATTTTTTCACCTCACTTTTTCTTCCTCGAGAAGTATTAAAACATATTGGTCCATCAAAAGAGACTTTGTAGTAACCACAGACATGAAAATTAAAACAACTAATACTAGTAATTTTACTTTTGAAAGATACTGAAAAAGACCAATTTTTTGGACCACCAAGAGTGTTTCTCCTCTCTATAGAAGAAAAAGAAAACTTATCAAATTTTTACTAATAATATGTTCATTAACTTCAGATGTATGAACATGAACATGGAAGTAAAATGAGGTATGTAATGTCAGTTTCAGTTTTTTTTGTTGTTTTGTTTTTTTTTTTAAGTTGTAGGGGTTACCCAGACTAGTAAATCCAGTTCTAAAACAGGTAGGAATCTCCTAGAGCTGATTGTATTGTGCAGTGTTTGGGCCAGTTATTGGCAACCCTCTCTGACTATGAGGGGTTTATTTTAAGTAGAAAGATGTCAGTAGTTCCCACTTTCCAGCACTCCAACCTGTAGCCATTTTGGTTGCGATAGCACATAGAGAAAAATTTTGGCAACTAAATATTCATAGAAAGTGGCCAATTTGGAAACCTGTATCAGGGGGTCTAGCAGCTAGCTATGACAATGTAATTCCTTAGATTTATTGTCTTAAAGTTGAAGTGAGAAAAGCATTTGCATGAAATACCATTAGTGCACCACTTTTGCCTCATTCCCATGGTAGTATGAGTGTTATGCTTTTAGATTTCATTTAAGCCTTTAGATTCATTTGCCAGGCACTGTTGACTCAACTTTAATTTTTGGTAACCATCATCTGAAGTTTAGTGGTCATATGATGACTTTGAAAAACCTTAAGCATGGAGCACTGTTCCTGACTGTATGTTTGTGAACACTGGGTATGGACTAGGAGTGATCCTTACTCAGGATTGGGTGCATAGATAAGATTAGATAGATATTGAACCTTCTAATTTAATTTTGATCTGTTTACACTCATTTAATAGTTGTCCAGCCATTGCTCAGATGTTATCAACTGTTTTGTACTACCGCCGCTTCTTCCCTTATTATACATACAACATTCTGGCAGGATTGGACAGTGAAGGTAAACTTTTATTGCCCATCGAAACGGCATATTTTTTTCACTGATCATGGGAAGGTCTGTGTCCGGTTTCACTTGTAATTATTACAGGCTTGGTGAGTATTATAAAGATCAAAGTATTGATTCTCAAAATGACTTCCACAGGTCCATGTGTTTTCCAAGAAAAAACAAATGAAATGAAAAGAAATTGGATTACCAAAATGCATGGCAATGCTCAAACAATCCTCCCTTCAAACCAGATAAAGTTGTTGAATAATCATGTGATGTCACCTCAGGTGTCATTTCTTGCAACAAGTAGCAGATTAAGTCGCAAAGTAGGTCCTCAATAAAAGCATCAAAATCAACTCTTTCTGTGGCATGATAAAACATGCATTGATGATCATTGTTTCTTGCTATCAGGTAAAGGATGCGTTTTTAGTTTTGATCCAGTGGGTTCTTATGAAAGAGAGACTTACAGAGCTGGGGGGTCTGCTTCAGCCCTTCTGCAGCCATTACTTGACAATCAGGTAAAACTGTTTCTTCATGTTTTGAGGATTTGCATTCTTTGTTAATTTTTTACGATGCAAGTGAAATTTGTTCCCAATGAATCAGCAGTCTTTATCCCGATTCATTAAAATAATGATTTATATTTAAACACTTGATCAGCAGGGATTTGCTAAAGCAAAGGCATAGAAAAAACCAGGAAAGATTTATTACTCGACGTTTTGGGGTCACAATGGAGTCACGATGACTCCATGATTAACTAAATGTACAAGTTTGCATTTATATTTATCTTTGCCAATGTTTTTCTTTAAGATTGGTTTCAAAAACCAGCAAGAAGTAACTGAAGTTCCACTGACCAAAGAGAAAGCAGTTTTTCTGGTAAAGGATGTATTTACTGCTGCTGCTGAGAGAGATATCTACACTGGAGATGCAGTAGTTATCAGTGTTATCACTAAAGATGGCGTCACACAAGAAGCCTTCCCACTCAGAAGAGATTAATAATTGTTGTAGTTAACAATTTTGTGTGCGTGTCAGCCTGTTTCTAAAAGTGCACCGTAGATCAAAGGATTTTATCCTTTTCTTCTCTCTATATTGTTAGTCTGTATCAAAAAGCGTTTGATTAAATGCACCGGTAGATGCTCTTGAACTTTGCTCTTAACCCTTTAACTCCTAGAATTGAGTAACTTGTGACCCTGTAATATCCATACACTATCCAGCAAACAGGTAATGAGAACCCTCAGGTGTATCAGGCAGAATCGCATCATTAAATAAAATCTCGCATTCTGATTGGTTAACGAAGCGAGGTATTTAGCGTGGAATTGCGAGTTGAAAACGCATCTACGTAAGCATAACAATTTTAAGTAATGCTTTTTCCTGTTTTTACTCATTTTTATTCAGTTATGCGATTCAAGGAAAATCCATTACTTCACTCGTGAATTCCGCATTAAATTGCACGCGAAAACCGATATCGCACGAATCGCGATATCGTCAAGTAATGAATTTTCCTATAGAAGTTGTTATGTTGATCTAACATCAGTTCTTTTAAGTAATTTACAAGGAAATGTGTAGAAGCTGGAGGGGAGAATTCACAATCAGATCTTGGGAGTTAAAGGGTTCATTGCTAAAAGAAAAAAAACGTGATCCATGTTTCAGGAATAGCTCTGTACTTATGGAAGACAAGGCCCCACTGTCTCGTTAGTGTATAGTTGGTGGACAATAAAATCACAAGTTTCTGATTTTTTTAATTGTTATTGGTCGGACGAAAACAACAAGGGATAAACTAATACCGAGATCCTTCGGAAAGGCGCAAGACATAAACTTGTCTCGAGATCCTTCGGAACGGTTCTCTAAAACACTTTGCTACTGAACTAGAACACTACACAAAGACCATTAATTGTGGACAAGATCATTTGACAGAGTGTCATCAGGTCGCTTAAGTTATGCGACAAGGACAAAAGTTATGACATAATTGTTGGTTATTACAAGTTGTTGAACACCTTCCGTGCAGATTTAAGAATCAAAGTCTTTTCAACAGTTATTTTTATCATTTCTGCGATTGTTTTTCTCTTCTCTCTCTCTAACTTAGGAACACGCTTCTGAAATATGACTGGAAAGCTGCTTTGTATAAATGAGGACAATTTCGGAGGCGACTTTCTGCATGCAATGGCCAAACAAAAAGAGAGGGCTTGTGAAAAAAGTATTCAAAATCAGTTACAGCCGAGTAAAGGGGGCCATACGAGAATTGAAGAGAATGCGCCTTAGGACGAGCACTATTGGACGGATTTTGTGCTTTACCATATTTACTGTCTGACAAAGAGTCCTAAATAATTTTTTTTTACGCTTCTAAAAGTTTAGACTCGCTGACCCGTTTTGGACTGCGTTTTAGCTAATCCTCGTGTAATTTTTGAATGTCAATCGCTAAAAAGGTAAATAACTTTCATGCAGGATGGTCCCGGGTTGTTGTTTTCGTCGTTGTGGTTGACCAGGTCTTCCCAGTACCACAGCCGATATTCTTGACCAGCGGTCACCAGCAGTGGAATGGTGAATGATAACACCAGTTCAGGGGAGTTGCCTGTAAATCCAGGAAGCTGGTAGTAAGTAGCATTGTGATCTTCGGGGAAAACAACATTGTTGTCCTTATCTGTTAGAATTGTGTCGATGTCGGAATGATAACCCCAGTTACTTTCATCTTCCGGTGTGCAGCCCACCTTACCAGAAATGTGTACCAACCTGATAGAGTAGATTTTACCGGCCAAGAGAGTGAAAAACACTCCTGGCATATCGCCTTTTCCGTACATGCAAACATGGTACGGTATTTCAACCAGCCATTTTTCTACAGGAAGGAAAAAGTGACAGTAATAGTCGGTTGTTAACAATTCGACAGCCGAGCTCTAAAACGTAGGACGGCTCCTAGTTGGTTGAATTCCTCGATGTACTGGTTCAACATGTCACTTCGATACAGGTGCCATAGGAATTAACAAAAAAAAAAAACTCGATTTCGCCAACTGTACTGTCAGTATGGATACATGTACACACCCTCAACAACAACTGCAATACGTTTAAGTTAGATGGAGTCTCTGTAATATGTTATACACGCCGTATCATGCAATTACGTTTAATATCATTCAGAAATACAACGTTAAATGTTAAAGCTCTGAACGGTGGGTGTAAAGCCTTCTTAACTTCCTGCCACTTTCAATATTTGAAATTTTGATCATAAGGAATGGATGGTTTAGCCGTTTTGGCTGGTACCGGTTTAGTTAATTACACTTACCACAATAACTGCCGGAGTAATTTGGATGACAATCGCCGCACCAGAAATCATTCAGTTGATATAGGGCTCGACAGCTGCTGTTATGCGAACAGGGGTTCGATAAACACGGAGTCTGTGAGGGAATATTTGACGTTTCAGTTACTTTCATATCCGTAAGAATCATAACAAGTAAAAAGAGTGGGAAAGAACGATGTAAAAGTCTTTTCCTTGAATGAGGGTCTAAATGGGATGATGGCTTGTATGGCTAACGGTTAAATCGGCCAGTTTACGGCTAAAGGTTGATATCTTTCCATTGAGGTCACCAGAACAATTTTTGCGGCTAACGGTTAATATTGTTACGACTAACGGTTAAAATTTGTCAAATTTAACGCCTATAACTGTTAAACGTCTTGAACATTTTACGGCTAACGGTTAACCCCGTTGAGACCCTCTTGAACCAAGTGCCGCATTCATCATTTGGCAAACAATGCAAAACGCACAAAACTGATCCAGACACTGACGGCGGTTTGCTTGATCTGAACAAACACGTTTCAATTTTGAGTTTGACAAATGTTATCAATAATTTAACGGGCCATCGTTTAACGTGACCTTCACAAGGTTCCCTTGTCCCTTAAAAGAAGAAGTACGTATCGCGGAAGTGATACATTTTAGTATCTCCGTGATTCAAAAGTATGCATGTAATACTGTTGCGTTTGAGACTCCAAAGGGTAACCCTACCTTTCAAAAACTTTTCTTTAAATGCGCTAGAACGCTTTAATTTCGGTTTAACTCTTGCTCAAAACCTGGCGCATACTCGCTTGCGACGTAACAAGGTCTCATTCTTCATTTCAATCCCTTATTGTATTTCTTAGCGATCGAAAAAGTCAGTGAGAAAAGCCTTCGAGACTCGTTTTCATTGGGAACTTAAGTAAAGATTGTATTTCATCTAAGCAGAGTTAGTCCCCTCTACTAACTATGATCTAAGTAAAGAGATTGATTCCTTTTGATTTGGTTATCCAAAATTCAAATGTATTCTTTATAACTTTTTTTCTTTTCCTGATTGCAAAAAGTATTTGAGGAACAGTGTGTGGCGTGTAAAGAAACGTCACGCTGAAATTACTATTCAACGAGAGAGCGAAAGAGGCACCTGTTAATTAAAAGCAATTCGCCGCAGGATGACTGTCCGATTAAACCGCCAAGAACATGACGTTTGTGTTACAGAGCATGCATTTGAAGTGTTCTGAAGTGTAGCCATTATACCAAATCGCATCTAAAATTCGTTTTTTTTTTCCTAAGACATTTTTAAAAGAAACACTGGCAGGACAAGGTGTACGTTCATGCTGGAAACCACATCAGAAATTCAAACTTTGATGGTCCTTGAACGCTGAAAACTCCAGCGGGAAACTCTGCTTAAATTCTGTTTGCCGGTTCTCAGTTTTTCGTACCATTTTACACAAGCACATTTAAGGTAGATAGTGATTTGCTTGTATTTTAACGCCTTTATGACCTTCCATTTGATATTGGAGGTTTTTCAACCAGAGAAATACAGAGCAACCGCAGAATACTCGGCCACTTTGGTCCACCTCATTTACATGTGTCGGGAGGCTTTGAAGAACGAAGCGTAACTCCAATAGACGCTATTCTTATTCAATGACATTTAAATGAGTGGCGGGGTATTCTGCAGTTTAGCCAGAAGTACATTCAATGGATGGTATTTATTTCAGCAGGGCGAAAGTATACTGAACTCACTTGGTGGTTTTTAAGGAGTTTTAAATTCATGTAGCTTACATTAGGAAGTCCGGCATGGAGATTAAACGTACCCGCGGAGCTTGTTAATCACCCTTTTGTCACATTACTACGTATGCAGAAATAAGGTAATGAGGAATTTGATGTCAAAGCTGAAAATAGTCCTTGGAACAGGATGACCCAATGTAACGAGGTCAAAGAAAATGTCCTTCTGACAGGCAAAAATAAAACACGAACTGGGCTTGAGTAAAGAAGTATCAATAAATGCGATCACTTTTAACTTCGGTAGAAAAAGGGGCGCCAAGCGTCATCGAAAGATTCTACGAGACGAATAGTTTTGTTTCACTTCTTGTGCTGTCGGTGTCGAGGGCCTTGTGCATAGCTTGGTCAATCAAATTGAGATATTTCGTAAGAAATAAAAGAATAAGTTGTATTATGTTAAATTCAGAATAAATCGCAGAATTGACGTGCCTCAGTTGCCTTTGTAACCTGACCGGCGTAATCTTACTCTAAAAATCAATAAAAACGATTCCAAGACCGCTTTAGTTAATTGTAGCTGTTGTACAAACTATACCTTTACACTGTAGTGATGGAAGCGTGGACTTGGTCTAAAGCTGTCAGAAGCGTTATACTTGTCCGTGGGAAGCAGCTTACAAACATAACGACTATTGATATCAGGTTTAGTAGCAAGGTTTGTTGAAAAACATCGCTGATCTTCTAAACAGTGAAGCTGACAATCTATTCGATCCCTGACAAGCCTGGATTCAAGCTCCAGTACATCAAGAACGTGAAAAACATGGTCGATAAACGAAGCGACACGAAATTTAGAATCACGATGAAGACTTCTGGCGCATAAAGATTGTTCGAGAGGAAACAACATGCAAACCAACAAAATATTTTGCAAAGTCTGAAACATTTCGAATCTAGCACAGTTTGTTCCTTGAATCAAGATCTCTTTATAATTAATTCATAAAGCCGCTTGGCGTGAACTGTGTCATCAGTCTTATTTTTAACCAATTACAATGTTATTTTAATTTGCAATTTTCGGTGCTTCCTATTCTGTATGACGTATCGTACGGTTTAAACAAAGTTAACACATTGTTACGACTGTCACGTGCCAATTAATTCGAAGCTTCCACATCCCCCACCTGCAACCCACAGACATTTGACTATCGTCCGTGCCCGGGGAGGTGGAGAATTTGAACCTTTCCTTGGTGGGGTGGGGTAATCGAACCAGAACTGAAGAATCTTTCCACGAGAATGAACATGTTTTATTGTTTGATCTGTGGGTGTTTAGAGGTAAAAAGTTCACTTTCCCGAGCAGGTGGCTCAGAAGAAAAGGTGTAAAAGAAAGTCACGGTCGCTAATCTTGCCTTTCACATAAATATTGACCGTCAAATCCTGCATTTGAACAAAATTTTGGCCCCTGGAGGCGGGAATTTGTACGTACCAATCTTCAAAATTTCACATGCCCGGGGGGGTTGCCCAGGGGAGGGGAATTTGACGCTTCGAATTGATCACGCAGACACGGAGAATTCACAGGGAGTCGTGTCCTCGTCATGTGTTACATTGTGGAATTGTTTTCCAGGTTTCGCTCATTCCGGCAGTAGTCACACTAGAAGCATAACTCTGTTTCGTTATTGTTTCACAGGTTTCCTATGTATTTTGGGAGCAGGAACAAAGTTCATTCTTTGTCGCAGATCATCTATGGGCTCCTCAAAGTGTTTTTCAAAATAAAAATTCATAAAGAAATTGGATTGATATCCACAGTAAACAGCCCAGGGAATGTAGTACTTCCTTAGTTCTCTTCGCTTTCTGCAAATTAATATAAAAAGAACGAGAAAATGAGTGAATGTTTCATTTGCCTGTCAAAGTAGTGCAACAGATTCCAACAAGACAAATTACCACAGGGGAGTCAAGGTAAAAAAAAAGTACAATGAAAACTAAACGTGTGTGAAAGCCTCTAATAACTGATGCAGTGAAGTATTTTTCAAGTTTTCAAGGTTACTCAAGAGGGAGGTTGGTTTTTGTCACTTATTAGTGTTTTAACCAACAGACTTCTTTTGCATCCCTTTGTCATAGCTGTGTATCACAGTGTGATGGCATATGTAATAAGGTAATTTGGTAATATCAACTAAGTTGAAATTGTAAATTGGCCACCGTAAAGAGTTAAAAAGCTGACGTTTTGAACGTAAGGGCTAACGTTAGGGCGTTAAGGCTAACGCTCGAAATGTCAGCTTTTAACTCTTTACGGTGGCCAATTTACAATTTCAACTTAGTTGATATTACCAAATTACCTTGTTACCCCCACAGATGCAGCACCACAGTTTTTTAAGAAACTTACCCCCTTCAGGCATATGTAATAGCTTTACTTTTAGGGAATATGGTCAACTCTGTCTAGTATGGACATGGTCAACTCTGTCTAGTATGGACATGGTCAACTCTGTCTAGTATGGACATGGTCAACTCTGTCTAGCTGCTGGCATTACACTCATCCAGAGTATGGACATGGTCAACTCTGTCTAGTATGGACATGGTCAACTCTGTCTAGTATAGACATGGTCAACTCTGTCTAGTATGGACATGGTCAACTCTGTCTAGTATAGACATGGTCAACTCTGTCTAGTATGGACATGGTCAACTCTGTCTAGTATAGACATGGTCAACTCTGTCTAGTATGGACATGGTCAACTCTGTCTAGTATAGACATGGTCAACTCTGTCTAGTATGGACATGGTCAACTCTGTCTAGTATAGACATGGTCAACTCTGTCTAGTATGGACATGGTCAACTCTGTCTAGTATAGACATGGTCAACTCTGTCTAGTATGGACATGGTCAACATGAAGGTGTGCAGCTTACAAAGAATTGCAGTAATGTGACATTGACAATTCAGAGATAATTAGGTTGAACCTGTGTGCAAACAATCCAGATAAACATTATTTAAATATGCCAAGTTCTTCCAAGACCATATGAAAAATTCATGGAAGAATCACAACTTACCTTGCTGTCAGTCGAATTGGTGCCACAACTGAGCTGAGGGCACACATTGGGAGGCCTGTTTGAATCATCTCGTACCACTTCACAGCTATTTCATGTGATACACTGTTGGTAATGATAATTATAAAAACAGTAGTGATAATAATAATGATGATGATAATAATAATAATTATTGATGTTACTATCATTATGGTAACAATTTAGTGGTTTGAGTAAAGCAGTTGATCAAGAAGATAAACTGCTTTTCCTAACAGCGAATGACATTTAGACATTATTTTGTTATAGACATATGGACTTAACTTTCACTGACTCTCACTGATGACGACAATAGTTTAATTGTTTAAACATCCGTCAGTTCTTTTTGCAGCTACTATTGCATCCAGCTTAAAACATTTGAAAACAGGACCAAAGACAACATCCAATAAAATTGCAAATGGCTAGATATAAGCTGTTTTGGTCTAGTTGTTTTTTACCTTATTTTTATTCCAGTCATGAAAATTAGTATTTTTGCTCATAGCACACTCTAGCCTCTTTGCAAGAAGAAATGAAGCATCTTTCATACACACCAAGAACACAAACCTTATGGACAAGCCAGCCAGTGTGTGAACAAAGTCATGAACCTCTCTATATCTTTGCATTACATAGGCAAGATCTTTATCATCAACAAACTTCACCTGAAAGAATCAAAAAGAAGTCCTCATCTTATGCCTGAGAAAACCAAGGTGACCTGTTTAACAAATTTAAGACAGTTTGCCTCATTTAAGAGGGAAAGGAGAGTGTAAATCCACACCACTGATCACAGACACAGAGATTTCATTTATAAAAACTTTCCCCATCGTGTAGGGCATATTGATGCTGCAACTTGTCCTAATCACAAGTTGGAGCACCTTATCTTGGAGGCACTGCACAAAGACTTTAAGAGCGGTGTGTATTAGCGTTCCTATCCTTTAACTTCATGGTGCTTATATTCATTCAGCAGTTTAGGACCTGAGGATGTTCATACCATGGAGGCTGCTGGCATTACACTCATCCAGACACATGAGCTCTGCAAAACTTTCCATCACTATCATTGACTCAAAAGAGGCAAGTTGATTAATTATAACTACAACAAGGTTTTGTTTTATTTGATAAACAACTAAATTTCAATGCTCACCTCATCTCTACTGTCAGCTGTAATTTTCTTATGAAGAGAAGAACAACAATAAGTAAGTTTTAGAGACAAATGATGAGATTTCATTGAATACTTTAATCAATAGTTAAGATATTTCATTCATTGGCCAGCATGCTAACTGGATGGTGCTGCATTTAGTTCCCTTGGTGTGAAATCACAGATCATATTTCACCATGCTTGAAAATGATAGAAAAGCGCAGACATTTAAAAAAGCACTTGGGTGAGAACATTTTCTCTTTAGTTTATCATCCTCTTTTCTTTCAGAAATAATTTAAGGGAATGATGCCAACACTTTTTGCTTCACTTGTTTGCTGTTCAGATTTTACCCCAATTAAAGTTATTGTCAAATTGGCAGATTGAAACACTTAACACAAAAGATAAGTTTGGATTTCAAACAACAAACTTCAAAATTTGGGCAAACTACATGCAAATGAAGATGCAAAATACCAGTAGTTAACACACTTTCTGCAGAGTACATGGGAGTACCAAGATTAAAGAATAGACTTACATTAGTGTCCATATTTCTGGCATATTCTCTTCCAAACGATCCATCAGGAAGTTGTCGGAGTTTATTCATGTCTATTGTGGATGAGTTTATGCGAGGACATTCTCTTTAAGTTTAAACAGCACAAAAGAAGTGTAATAAATAAATGCTCAACTTAATCTGGATTGTGCATACTTAACATACTGTGGCCTTGGTTGATCTATCATTTGAATTGTCAACCTACATGTTGGTCAACTGATATAGGGGTCAATAGTCAGCTAATAAGAACCAGTAACCAATGCACAAGTGAAAGCTAGCTTATATGTCTCTTGTCTCTGTATGCTAACACCTTGACCTTCTCGCAAGCTGACTATCAGTTAAGTTTCAGTCTACTGGCAGCAGCCCTAGCAAATTATAATTGATTACTGGTAACTATCAATGTTCCTCCTGATCCAGTAATCTTATAAAGTTATCAAAATTGCAAATGTTAAATTGTATGGCTTGTATCCAACTATTCAATAAGACAATAAAATCAAATCAAATCAAAGTTGATGAACAGAAATTGAGAAAACAGAGATTGTAGAAAATCTCTAGAATTTACTTCCTCGCATTTCACTCAAATTGCTGCTAGGTTTGCTTTCATTTCTGCTTGAAACATGGATATATATGGTGGCCAAGAACTGCCATTAAAAATATTCAAATTTATAGGAATTATTTTTGTTTTGTTTTTTTTAATTTCGATTTATTTCTCATTTTTCTTTTTAAAATAAAAGCAAGTGAAAGTAAAATGTAAAATAGAAATAAAATGAAACCAAAGATAAATGAAATCAAATCAAAATTAAATCCGTCTACGGCCGTGGAAAACTTAAAAGAGAAAGTGACTGCAAAAAGGGGGAAGAAGCGTGACACAGGAGATATGACGCATAAATTAATTAAAGGAAAGGAGCTGTATAATAATAACAGTCAAATTCAACGAAGAATTAGAGCTGTTTGCTCACGGTGGGTTTCGCAATGCATACAAAACAACCACAAAGCACCCACAGTTCAAAGGGACTACCTAGGTAATTAAAAGATACCTTCCTGATGCTGTGAAGGGAATAAATGACATTGGGCAAACTGTCCAACAACACACCCAAAAGGTGGTTCAGATGCATCTTCTTGCTAGGAATTTCGCTCGCCAGTTGGAACAAAAAATCACTGGAAAACATGCAATTGGAGAGGTCCTAAGGTATAGAAAGATCACTACGGTGAAGATGATAAAGGAGAATTTGTGACTGTGAAGGAGATTATTGATGGACAGTTTACCAAGTACTTAAACAATACTGATGATTGTTGTGTCGAGGAAACAGATGTTATGGGTCAGAAGGTTCAATGTCTAACCCATTTTTCTTATGAAAAGTCAGACAAAAAACTCATGCTGCTAGACATACAAGGACATGGGTATGAATTATTTGACCCAGAAATTGTTTCTCATGAACTTTTTTATGGTAGTGCATTCTGGGTTTGTTTGGCAACCCTTGGCCATGTGGCAGCATTCGGCCACAAACAAATTTTTTTTTTCTGACTGCAGAAAAAAAAAAAAACCAGTGGCAGCGCTCTGCCAGGTAGGATTTAATTTTTATTTGATTTCATTTATCTTTGGTTTCATTTTATTTCTATTTGACATTTTACTTTCACTTGCTTTTATTTTAAAAAGAAAAATGAGAAATAAGTCGAAATTAAAAAAAAAATAACAAAAATAATTCCTATAAATTTGAATATTTTTAATGGGAGTTCTTGGCCACCATAGATATAAGCAAGATGTGGCACTCAACCAAGAGTGTTTAATTAAAAGCAGCAATTAGTTTCAACACATCCATAAGAGGGTTGACATAAGAGCCCTACATTACAAATAATTCTTGAATCATTTGACAAATGACATCATTTTCACCTACTGTAGTATCTGTTGTCCAATCGGATCTGCTTGCATTTTTTTGTGCATGTTTTTAAGTGCCAAGAATCCGGTTGTCTCTCCTAGTGTTGCCACCATATCTACAATACCCACAAACATTTTATTAAAAGTTTTTTAAAAATACACTAATTATCTGAAAGGGTGGGAAAACAACTAAGCAGTTTTTAAATGGTTCATATGCCCCCCCCCCCAACCCCTTGGCTGTCAGGAAAATACAATTACTGACCTTGCCCCTTAACCAAACACCTTCTCCACCCCCCTTATGATAGGGATTTACCAGCACATTGAAACATCTGCAACAACAACTTTGAAATATCAACCATCAAATTTATTGGATATAACTGGGTCAATTTTTACTAACCATTGCCTGGTCAGCTGACTCAACTGGGATAATACCACACTGCCATGCAAGAGGTCAAAGATTAAATGGATAAAAAACAGGACGACCTTCCTGGTTAATAAAATAATTGAGAAGAATCTGCTGCAGTTTTTGATGCTACAGTATCTGCAAATGGAGTCTTCTTAGATAAAGATTTTAGTGAAGAAAGCTGTTTATTCTCATCATTCTTTCTCACAGAGGTGTTTACCAGGAAAACATTTTATTCTATTTCACTTGATTACAAGACCAAACCTTAAGCGAACCACACTCTCCGAGGAATGAAGAAAACTTAATACGAACAGAACACTAAACTTTAGCTAATATATAGAAAAATGGTCAATCGCAAATGGCACAAAAGGATCACGTAGTGAAAAAATTCTAATGAAGGCCATGATCCCACTGATTAACGCGTTTGTGTCCTGTTCACACACTAAATAGCACAATTGTCTCCTGCTCATTCTCCCCCACGTTGATATGACATGGCATATCAATAAAACGATAATACCGATGATAAGGGGGGCCTTCGGAGTCACTACTTAACTATCCAGAGGTTTCTGAAAGTATTCATCCTCATCTCGATTATCTCCAAGTACGTTCATAACAGTTCGAGCTGGCATAACTTGGTAACAGGCCTAAGGAGTTCTTCTTTTCCCACCTGCACTTTAGCGATTCTTATGTGCCCATCTTTTCCTGGATAGACTTTGATGATTCGACTAAGAGGCCAGTGTCCTCGTGGTGTCTTAGGCGACATAACCAACACAATGTCATCAACTTTAATGTCTCGCTCGACATGGAGCCACTTTCTTCTGATGTTCAGAGTGGGTAACCACTCCTGAATCCAATGATGCCAGAAATGTCTAACTAGTTCCTGGACCCTTCTCCATCTCTTCTTTGGGTGGAATCAGGTCTCATCTACTGAATCTGGTGAAAACTGTCCTCCAACCTGACCAAAGAGGAAATGATTCGGCGTCAGCGGTACATCATCTTCAGGATTAGCTGATTGATAGGTCAGTGGTCTGGAGTTTAGAAGTACCTCTGCTCCTGTGAATGCTGTCATTACCTCTTCATCTGTGATGTCTGTGTTGCCCAGGACTGCATATACTGCACGTTTTTCACCCTTGATCATAATCTCATGGGCTCCTCCAAAATGAGGTGCCTGTGGGGGATTAAATTTCCATTTGATTCCTTGGTTTGCAGTCGATTTAGCAATCTTCTCTTGATCAAGCTCCGTGACCTAATCGCGTAACTCCATGGCATAATTAAAACCTTGCTCTGCTACCATTAAATGTTTACCAGAAAAACGTTTTATTCTATTTCACTTGATTACAAGACCAAACCTTAGGGGAACCACACTCTCTGAGGAATGAATAAAACTTAATACAAACAGAACACTAAACTTTAACTAATATATATGAAAATGGTCGGTCACAAATAGCACAAAAGGATCACATAGTGCAAAAAATTCTAATGAACGCCATGATCCCACTGATTAACGCGATTGTCTCCTGTTCACACACTAATTAGCACAATTGTCTCCTGCTCAGAGGTATTAATCACATCTTAATTCAAATGGAATTATGTAAGAAGTAATCATCCTCACTGGTCATAGAATGGAGATGGCTTTGGTTGGAGATTTGTATACTGAATTACTACAATAAATGTTGGCTGTTACCTGCTCTTTCTGGATTGTACAATGCCATCAGAGCAGATCCAGTTGTCAGTAGCACCTTCTGCATCACAGATGTGGGGATATGGGACTCATACAGCTGAATTCCATCATGTGATAGGTTCTTGTCTTCCATCTCATCCTCCCAATCAGGGATACTGTCACTAATGGCATCATCAAACTCTAATCCTTCTGGAAAAATTGTAAATAGTTTAGTCCTTTTCTTAAAAGATTTCTTTAGCAATTCTCCATTCTACCTTACTGGTACTTGATTACATGAAATCTAAGACCTGTGAATTAGAATCCTTCCAAAATTTTAACACGCAAAATTGAATCCTCCATAGAAAATTCAAATCGCAGAAAAAAAATGATCAACATGTAATAGCAACAAGAAAATTATACAGGATGTGTATATGTCCACAAGTTCACAAATTATTAACTGGTCTTACAGGAGAGTTACATTTTGCATCTCCTGCAGTGAAATCATGTTACTTTGCAAAGATTTTGCAGATGGAGTGGAGAATCTATTATTTCATGTAGTTGTCAAAAGTGAAGACATTTTAAAAAAAATTAAGTCGAGAACGCTCAAATCCCAAAATTCACTGCCCTTCTTCGCATTTGCTTATTGAAATCGTACAAAGTACAACCCTGCAAAAGACCATCTCACCAAAATTACAACATTAAATACCCCTTAAATCAAGTACCAATAATTAATTCAGAGAGTTTGATGTCTCTTTGAGATTACACTTTCCGACTGATTTCTTTATATGATTTTTTTTATTTCCTTTTTGTCATGATAATGTGCAAGTGTATGTGTATTGAGTACTTGTGAGTTTGAGTGAATACTTTATTAATGTGTCAAGAGATTTAGCTACCAAGCTACCAAGCTACTTCAGCACAGGGATTCTAATAGAAGCTGCTTAATTGATTACCGGTGGTCAACTGCCGCATGATACCTTCCACCATTTGTCCTGGCCTGCGTACAGGCCCTCATGTCTGGGTTTTGCCTTACAGCCCTTTTTCTGGGCACAGCTGCCTATTGACCCATCAGCAGCCTCATATGGAAAAGGTTATTAAAACCCCTGATAGTAGCAAGTGAAACTACTGTATGACTGCTGAATGATGCACAAGTACTGTTATCAACTACGATGATTATTCTGGGCATTACTTGACTGCCAATCACAGGTTGCAGAAACTTCAAACCCTATGTAATCTACATAATTCCTAGCGTAAAAAGGATTCAAATAAGAAAACTGAAAAAAAACCTTACCACGTACTGTTCGTTTTTAGGTATAAAAAATACGTTAAGGTATCACAGAAGGAAAAAATCACCTTTTTTACAATTTCCTGGACATGTAATACCTACTTAAATAAATGAGATCTATCAACTTCTGAAAATTTCACTTTGGTATCTTTTTTTACTTCAGGGGATGTAAAGCAAAAAGTAGTTTGTGAGTAGAACGGAAGGGCGAGATTGACGACACTTTATGTCAACTTCTACACATCACCTAATTAACGATTTCAAAACCACTGATTTTCAGTACACACTGTACAGTTTTGTACGACTCCGAAATCACTCATCCATTAAAAAGTCTATTTACAGTTAGTTCTTGAGATCGTTTTTTTCAATTCAAGTGTTGTTTTCAAGCTATTACCATGTCCAAAAGCGACAGGTCCGAAAAAGGAAAGTTTCTTTGCAGTTTGCATCGGAGCGGGAATATTGTTCACCGATAATGATATGGGTTACTGCTAGATTCAGAGAGATTCAGTGGCCAAAGTTTATTTCTAATGAAGTTGCCGCAGGCGCTAGCTCGCGAAAAATATCGCCGATAGTCCAACATCACTCACGTAGCATTGCACCTCGAGCATCGATCGTTGAAAAGCTGTGTTGTTTTTCCATTGTAGCTCTCCTTCCCTACCTGACCTCTTTCCTCCTCTTTTGCCGGTTGAAGCACCTTCCTATCGACAGAAGAGCGTGTTACACTTAACTCCTTGCAAATTGTGTCCCCTTTTGCTTTCTAGCCGACGATCCTAAAAGCAGGAACGGTGGAATAACGGAACGGCGGGAAATTACCCCAAATCTTAAATACAGGAACGGCAGAAAATCATACCAATTTCTATTTCCTTTGGTACATTAAAGGGGTAGTGGTGGGGGTATAAGAACTGTAAACAAAAAATCTCGTATCATTTCAACGAGGTGACAGAAATGTCATCTTTTATAGCCTGCATTCTTCGATGGCCAAAACATAGAAGTCGTATCTCAAAGATTCACTAACAGACAAATTTTATCAATTCATAGTCAGGACTAAAGTCCCTCAAACTGCAATTTTATTCTCTATGGATGTAACCAGCCTGTGTACGAATATTTTGCAAGAGGTTGGAATTGAAACTATATTTACGAAGCCTTTTAAATGGGAGAAACCTCAATGTCAAAAACAAGCTTTGAAGACGACATCCGAGCCACTCCGAGTCGCGATATCCAAATTACCTTGCTGAGAGAATACGCACAGTTGATTTCACTAGTAGGAAAACAACACTCCAGGAGAAAAACAACTAACCATATTGCGACTAACCATATTGTCTTTTATTCCACAATATAACCCATCAGTGACCAGTCTTAAAAATATTTTATTGAGCAACTAGCAAATTACTGAGAAGCAACCTAAGCTCCAGGAGATTTATAAAAATGGCTTCCAATAGTTTCATTTAAAAGAGGGAAAATTAATGGAAGACATGCTTATCAGACCGAAGGCCTATTGGTCAGCTACTTCAAAAATAACCCACCCACCACGAAACAGTAAGAGTCGATTCGGCCTGTCAACCCACTTAAAACCTCGGCAACCACAAAAAATCATCTCAAACAAACTAAACAGCCAACATGCTACACATTATGAACTAAGATAAAATTTTGGATATCGACTTAGTTCCGAGGAAGTTGGGGAGTAAAAAAAGGGTGACAAGAGGTCTCACTCGGTTACGCACACGAACAGATCACCGCTATGAAGCAGCAAAGGAACATGCAGTTTTGAGCGGGATGTGTGAACAACCATCCCGTCTTTTAGGATTTGGGGTGATTTTCCACGATTCCTTCTTTAGGGATTTAGGGTAATTTTCCGCCGTTCCATCTTTTATGATCTGAGGTAGTTTTCTGTCGTTCTTTCTTTTAGAATTTGGGGTTATTTTTCCGCCATTCCGTCACTCCCCCGTTCCGGCCTACTGGATCGCCCTGTCTATAGCTCTTAACCGGGCTATTTTAGGTCTTGTTCTTAAACTCCAGACAGCAATTAAATCAAAACTCGTGAACTTAGGAGTGACAGATAATACACGTATGACCGATAAGAAATAATTGAGATTTAAGAAAAATATAGATTTTCCGATTTGGTATAAATGCATTTACTCAAACTTCGTTTCCATGGCAACCCAGTCACTTGACGTCCAACACTAGAAGAGAACACTGCGTAGTGTGCAACAAAATCGGTATATAAGATTTGAGTTAGTTTTACGTGGTTTAATCAACACAGTTAAAATAATATAACCAATTCATTACTGAAGCTTCGTTTCCATGCAGATACGTTGTTATTCTTAAGCCCCATTTACAAATCATTAGTGCGGATTTCCAAAGTGAAACAATTTTTGCCCGTGGGTCCATTTTGCTTGCTTCACAAAATTCCCACGGGAGTAAACATTCTGACATTTTCTCCCAGACTATTTTTAGTCAACAACACACAAACTCCAATTAAGTTGGCCACTTTACCTTATCTTATCTACCTAAAAGGCAATAAGAATAAAATTACCACTCAAGAAGCTAGAGTTGCTCTCGGCTGCGCCTCGAGCGACCCTAGGCCACTCTAGCACATCTGTTTTGCTCTTCAAATTCCAGGGTGCTCGTTAAACGCACGCTGACCCCCTAGCTACGACCCAATCGTTGAAATACCCCTCTAGTGAAGAGGTTGTTATTCGTTCGCTTTCTTGTTTCTGTGACTTCACATCGGCTTATTCCCGTACGAGGTAAGAGAAGAACTGTTTTGCTTGGTGAAAAAATACGAATTTTCCGGTTAAATATAGTCATATAACTCTCAACTAAAACTTGAGTTTTGACCGTAATTCTGTGTAACTCAACATTGTTATGGCAACAAACACCGACGCCCCGATAAAAATTTCAAGTCGATTTGAAAAGTAAAGTGTTCTCGGCTGATATTCAGTCAATCTTCGTGAAATTTGGAAGAAATGTCGGAAATATAATGAGACCCAAAAGGCTGTCTCTGATTTTCAATTTTTCCTTTATTTCTTGAGATAAAGTGTCTACAGTGAAAACTTTGCCCAAAAGCGCTACTTTGAGGTAAAAAAAAAATTAAAAGGGAACGAGGCGTTAAAATAAAAGTCACAGATACCCTTGTATGTGTAAATCTCATTCCGATAAAAAAAGAAAGGTGTTGCTTGAAACGCGGCGTCAAAAAGACTTATCTTGTGAAAAGTCTCGGTTTGAGAGAATAAGCATCCATTCTGTTCAACGGCAAAAATTTTAAAATGAAATCAAATATCCCAAATCAGCGTCTATTAATCCTTAAAAAAATGTACACTTTACAGGGATAGCGCTCATAACTTTCACGCTCAGTTTGAATACATCATACAAGGGTATGTAATGTTATAAGGACAAATCAGCAATCATCTACCGCGAGTGTAAGTAATTTGGTTTGGGTTCCATGATATCTGAATAACACCTCCTCCCAACGCTCTCAGCAAACCCCTAGGCTGGAATTTGCAGCTTTTAATTCCATTTCATTGTACATGACCCTCGAATGAAGAACTCAAGTTTCCTGTAATCAAGTTTAATGTCTTTGCGTGGGGCATGGTTGCCCATATTGCCCGAGCCAGAGGCTCATATAATCGCAAGACAACACTCACCCATCCCACCCCAGGGGAGGACATCCATCACACAGTAATCTCGTGCGTGGAAAATTAATGTCTCCTACCCCTAACCCTGCATTAGACGGGACCTCCATTTATTCGTCCCTATCCGAGAAGACTATCTAAACCATTTGTTGACGTTATAGAAAGGTAGCATATTCTTCTCAATTATTTTAAGACCTTGAGTGTTGGTCCGGCCGGGGCTCGAACCCTCGACCTCCCGCACATCAGTCCAGCGCTCTATCAATTGAGCTAACCGGGAGGCGGTTAAGCATAAGGATTTTAGGGTGATCGGGGTGTTCGGAGGGAATTTACAGCCTTTTGCTTCTGGTGAATTCGTTCGGTTAGCGTTACTCGCAGATGTACCATGAAAAGGAGCATGTTAAGCAGATGAAGTAAGACCAGGCTAAATGACCCTAAATCAGCTAAGAAATTCACTTGATGCAGAGGAATAACCGCCAGGGTAACTTTATCTTTGTTCAAAACTTGTTCAGATTTCTTTTAAATTGAAAGCGCAACCGTTCATTCCCATGCAAACGGAGGCTCACAATGTGAGCTTGAGCTACCTGCAGTTGGTCGTCAAGGACAATAAAAACATCTTTCTATTTCATCGTAAACTTCTTTAGACCCCAAAACGAAATTTCAAACAGGCAATACCCGGTCACTCTTTCACAGGTCATTGAATAAGAATTTGCGTCTATGATGTTTTGCCATGTTCTTCAAAGCCTCTCGACACGTGATCGAGGTGGCCGGGTATGCTGACGGTGCTCCGCTAAAAGATAGTTGATCGTTGAATAAGGACAGAATACAGAAAGAAATGAAAGAGTGATTGTCTCCTAACGTACCCAATAAATGAATCGAAAACAGTGTCGTAAGGAGAAATACTAAAGTTTGAGCTGAAGGCTTAAAAGAACTATATATAAGCTTAGCTTAGTAATTTGCAATTGTCTCGTCGATGTGAAGTCATCATACAGACAATCTTTCTTGTTTCACCTGACTCAAAACTTCTATAAACAAGTTCTATTAAAATCAACGTTTACCTGTTGATGTAAAACGCTTCCCCCTTAATATTCTCCAAGGATAAAGAAAATTTCGTACTACATGACGGCTGCGTTTGATAACATATATCGCCGCCATTTTTATTTGGTTTCAGTCCCAGACTTATCGCTTCCCGAAACAAACCAAGAGGCTGGGATCTAAGCAGCGTAGAAGTCAAAATGGCCGACGTACCTAAGTTTGTCAAGGATGCAATTTACGGATCCAGTGAACCTATGCCTCAAGGCTCGGAAGAAGTAAGAGGTTATGACTTCAGTAATGGAGTGAATTATCATGCCTTACTCGAGTCGTACAGGACCACTGGATTTCAGGCCAGCAACTTTGGAAAAGCTGTGGTAGAAGTAAATAACATGGTGAGTTGAACAGCGGTCATGTATGGTCTCTTAAAGATTTGCTTGGATAGGGGAAGCGCGTCTGGGACGGTTTGCCCTCCACTTTGAGCCAAAATGAAATTGTTTGATATTTGTTGTTTCATGGGAAAACATTTCCCCAGACCATCGAAGACGCTTACACAGACAGTACCGGTTTCTTACTCCTCCCCCTCCCCCTCCCCCCACACCGCAGACGAATTAAACGGATTCTACGAATTATTAAAAACTAGATCATTGGATAATGCAATTCAAGACTTTTTATTGGCTTAGCCATTATGGTATATCAGCCAATATACCATAATCTACAAATATGGTAAGCGTACGTGTCAGCTTAGAATTAAAAGGAGCTAAAATTTTAATAAAATTTAATAATTTGATTTAACGTTTTTAATAAAACAATTATTCCACTCGCACTTGTTGGATATGAGATGATTATAGCCAACTCGGCGGTACGCGCCTCGTTGGCTATCTATCATCTCATATCCAACGCGCGCTCGTAGAATAATTGTTAATTATATTGAGTATAAGAAGATACCTGTTACCTATAAGGGAAGTCTGATATAATGCTGTGTCACTGTATTTTTTTCATAGACTAAACTTTTGACTTGAAAGAGGTATCAGCATTTATTTACTGGTTATTTCCTGATACAGAAACCAGAAAATTGCCACTGCCATCTACATAACCTGACTCTACTCTACACTAAGCCGCATACCCAAAACTTTATCACATGTGCATGTGATCAGAGCTTCTAGGAGTATTTTTGGCCATGAGTAACTATGAGTATTTTTGGGTCATAGTATTTTTAATTTTTTTCCTGAATTTCTTTTATTGTTTAGATAAAAAAGAAGTTGGAACCTCTTCCACAGCCTGAAGATGGCCTGTCAAACTATGATTATCTTGATCCTGGTCAGCGCCCAATCAATAATTGCACAATTTTCCTTGGATTTACATCTAACATGATTTCAAGTGGTGTACGAGAAACAATTAAATATCTTGTCAAAAACAACATGGTACGTATACAGATTGTTGCTGCATTGCTGAGAAGCATGAACTAGTGGAGAACCATGAATTATAGATGAGTTCAAAAAGTCACAGAAGACAAGCCTTGCTCTGACTATTGTTAAAGTAACTGTTTTAATCATTAACTGCATCTGTTTTCCAGATGATGCATTGGTGACATATTAGTCAATGACTTTGATCATGTTTAACCAGTCATCTAGGTTAGGGAAGCACATATTAGAACTGTGATAACTTCCAGGGACTGTCAGTTCAGCCAACTGCATGGAAGTTATCATCAGCAACAACAACAGTCCTTTTGAGGATGTGTGCTGGCCACTGTAGAGTTGCTAATGGATTGGCTCTGACAAAGGTATAACACTCAAATGGTGTAACACTCAAATGGTGTAACACTCAAAATGTGAGCTTAGGATCCTCTCTAAGGAAGCCGATTCACATTATAAACTCAGTAAATTATCTTGTAATGCCACCCACTGATGCGGCACCACTGTTTCTTTCAATGAGAAACTTATACCCACTTTTCGGTATAATCCTCCGTCCAGCAACCTTCACAATACACAATCAACTGTTCTTCCAGGACTTAAAATACTTACTATCAATAATTTAATGAATGTAAATGGAATCATGTACATTAAAAAAAAAAAAGTGCTGAAAACTAATTGTGATCATCATCATAGATACTGCTGGGGCAATGTACTCAACTTTGTTTACAATGTATTCTAGGTTGACTGTATTGTTACAACAGCTGGTGGTATAGAAGAGGATCTCATGAAATGTATAGCTCCATCATACCTTGGTGACTTCTCACTGCGAGGTGCTGAACTGAGGAAAAAAGGCATAAACAGAATTGGGAATTTGCTTGTACCAAACAACAATTACTGTAGACTAGAGGAGTGGATTTTACCCCTGTGGGATAAGATGCTTGAAGAACAAAAAACACAGGTATGTAAAATATTAAACATTTTATGTCATGAAATGAAGTTTATAGAGCTAACTGTCAACATTATTGTTATTGCCAAGTATCTACTGGAATTATATAAGTGGATATAGATTTGTTTACCTGAATATAACTGTTTCTGAACATTACAAAGAGTACAAAAAGTCAAAACTGTAATGTCACAGTTTGTTGAGAATTCTGTAGTCTTACTATTGTGATTCGTAGTGTATTAAAAAAAAAAATGCTTTAAAGTTTGGAAAAGGTTTGTGTATGAAAAAATTCCTATCCCAACAGTATAAGTCTTTCAAACATCAGCGATTTCCCAAATAGGTAAAATTTCATTTCAATTACAAATGATTGTGTGTGTGTATTCCCTGGTTAAGGGTCCTTTTGGTATTTTATATTAAACAGTTTCTAAAGGACTTCAAAGTTTAAGCATAGAATATTTACTCTTTAACAATTTCAGGGTGTGAGATGGACTCCATCCAAAGTAATTTCAAGATTAGGCAAAGAAATAAATCACACAGATTCAGTCTGTTATTGGGCTTACAAGGTATGGTGGACAACATTAATTATTCAGTTGCGATAGGAACTTAGAAAGGAAAAAAGGATTAGACTAGGAGTTTTTTTTTTCTTTTTCAACAGAATAATATCCCAATTTTCAACCCGGCACTAACAGATGGAGCACTGGGAGATACACTATACTTTCACTCAGTGAAAAATCCTGGTTTGGTTATTGATATTGTAGAAGGTTAGGAGAACCCTTTTTTGTCCTCTATCACTGAAATCAAATCCTTCTGAATGTTAACTGTGTTACTAAGTGTGGTACCAAATGGGTGCCAATGAGAAAGAATATCAAAGCTCAGACAAGTAAAATCTGAACTTAAAATTAACTGTTAACCAATTTAGGATAGTAGTAGGTGGTAGTAGTAGTGAACTTTATTTATGTGTCGTGAGAAAATCTATTGCATAGCGCTAATTGGGGACACACAGGGTAATAATGCTTAAAAAAAGTAAGAAATCTAAAGTTTATTTACAAATAGAATTATTTAGCTAACCTATTTATAAATTAAAATTATTTATCAATGTCATAGTCTCAAAATTAATTGTTACAAAGTATACATTTTTTGCAGCCATCATCAATTATGACAGTCAGGTCCATTCTCTTGATTTTAGTCTTAAATCCATGCAGACTATCCTCAGTGCGTAACTCTTTCGTAAGTTTTGACCAGAGCAGAGGGCCATAGTGTCTAACAGAGTGCTTTCCATATTTAATGGTATTAAATCAAGGCATTTTGAAATCTGAATTTCTTAAAGAGTATCTCCTTTCGCAGTTTGCTTTCAATGTAAAAAGTTCTTGTCGTTAACTAGGAAGTAAGTTTTTTTTACCTTGAACAGGGGGACTGCTTTATCCTGGAGCCTTCTGGATTTCCATTTCTATGTAAATTCTGATGCTCATGTCACACCATTGATTAGTGAGCTGTAGATGAGTGGCCCTCTTATAACTAATTTATTCAACTGAAATTTTGATTTTTGTTTGTTTGTTTGCTTCTTTGTTTTTATTTCCAGACATAAGGAAAATGAACAATACATCAATATATGCCAAAAATACAGGAATGATCATTTTAGGAGGTGGTCTAATAAAGCATCATATCTGCAACGCCAATCTAATGGTGAGTTACCTTCAGCAGTTAGCTCCAGTGCTATGGAATCTTTGATCGTTTCCAGTTTATCACATTAATTTCTTCTTTTCCCAGAATTTAATTCTCCTTGTCTGCATTTCTTGCACTTGCTTGGCCTAAGTAAAGACGAAGTCATTGCTGACAGTGGTGACTGTTTTGGTCTGAATTGGTTTGAGTTGCTTTCCTTTTTATTATTATTATTTCCTTAAAGTCTTGCTCTTTTTTTCTTATGGTGCTGAGTTCAATCCATGAGCCTAGGGCAGTCATAAGTCTGCTGTCCAGATTCAATTATAATTATTATTATTATTATTATTATTATTACAATTATTATTATTTCACTTCTCTCCAGTTGTCGGGTCTTCCACTGGGTAACGTTGTTTGTGTCTCAGCAACTTCCCGTCGCTCAGAGACACAACACTTTTCGCAACAGATGAGTAGTTCCAAGGATGGCCGATAATTGAACACTGCCAAGGAAGTCAGGTACACCTAACTTGCCAAACCAGGCCTTTGATCTTTTCGATATGCTTCCGAGAGCACCGATTACAATAGGTATTACTGTGACTTCAAGGCTCCATGGACATGGATCCTTCTGATTTCGTATGCTAGTTCCCGGTACTTTTCCACCTTCTCCTCCTCGGTCCAGGTGATGTTCTGATCCGCTGGCTCAGCTATATCAGTAAGTGTCTATTTCTGTGTGTCTTTATGAATTAGGCCATGTCTGGCCGATTATGCCTCAGCACTTTGTCTGTGTAGTTAGTCATGTCCCAGTTAATCCTCACCTCTCCATTTTCTGCGATTGACAAGGGTTGGTGGTCATACCACTTGTCAGTACACTCTATTCCATATTTTCTGCACATCTCCCAGTGTACCAGCAGGGCCACCTTGTCCTGGCACTTCCTATACTCTCTCTGGGCAAGCTTCTTGCATCCACTGACAATGTGTCTGATTGTTTCAGTGGTGTCTCCACACAGTCTACACAGTGGCATTTCTGAAGTCTAGTCTACGCTATACTTGATCGAGTTTGTTCTTAACGCCTGTTCCTGAGCCACCAGAATCAAACCTTCTCTCTCCTTTTTTAAAAATCCGTTCCTTAACCATATCCAGGACTCCTCTCCAGCTTCATCTGTTATTTTTTGGATGAACTCACTGTGTAGGGCTTTCTTCTTCCAGTTTTTAACTTTCTCTTCTTTTTTCCTCCTCTCATAGTCCTATAGGCTCTCTTCTTCAACAATAATCTTCCCCTTCAATGCAGCTTGAAGCATCCATTTTGTGCTCTCACTCAGATAACCATGAAGAGATGTGCTCTCCCTCTTTACGCACTCTTCGATGTCAATCAGTCCTCTTCCCCCTTCCTTTCTCAGAAAGTACAGCCTCGCAACGTTACTCCTTGTGTATAGACAGCCATTCAACACAACTTCTTGACTCTTCTGGTATACTCTGATGTTATCTTGCCTTTCATCTTGGTGTTGAGAGTCTGGTCCAACTG